CGATGTCAACATTTCAAATGGTATTTACACCATAAATATGTTCTAACAGGAATGGGTGACAGACATTGTGGTTCTCTGGGGGTCAGTACCCAGTCCACAAAAAGACAACAGGACAAGATTTATCATCAAGTCTTATCCTTTATATAAAAAATAAAGCATATTTAAGGATAAAGTTTCTTTATTGTCCTTCGCATCACATGTGGTGCATGAGGTGGAACAAAATTGTGTACTCAAGGTCCTAGTTACACCCAAAAATATAAAGTATAAAAATGAAACAGTATACAAAGATCTAAGATATACGCTAAAGCAGTGGTTCCCAAACTGGGGTCATTTTTGGCGACCCCTTGGGGGTCTGCCAAAAATGAAATATATATATATATATATATTTATTAATTTTTCTTCTCCTTTTCAAGAACTCTTGAAAATACACCAAACTGCAAGAAATCACATCTACTTTATTCAAAATTTTCTGTGGCAGGAACCCCAGACCCCCCCACACACACACACACACACACACCGGCCCGCCCGTTATTTGTATTCAGGCATCAATCAGTTTACAAATTAAGCCTTGTTACTTGGTATGACTACTGTTGTTATGATTCTGTTTAGTTTTATGAAAAGATTTTTCTGTAATAATTTGAAGAAGTGGCAATATATTTATTATGTTCATTGTGTGAACAGGTAAAGTTTTAAAATGGTTTTTGATGCTGTTAATTTTCTCAAAACTGTAATTTTTAGAAGCTAAAATTAAACATTTTGTTAATTAATTGTGTTTTGAATGAAAAATACCCCATGTTTAAAAGTATAAACATTGTATTAACATTATTAAAGAACAGGTCTTAAGTATTTATGTTACACAAATATTTCCATCGCAATAAATAGACAAACTGAAGAAAATTATTTAATAAACATGAGGGTTATGAGGGGGTCCCTGAAAATTTTTCTCCCCTGTAAGGGGTCCCTGAACCCAAAAATGTTTGAGAAACCCTGCACTTAACAATAGTAATGTAATATAATAATGTATTTTAAAAAGCAGCTTGATTTCACAGCTTGCGTGGGCTACAGTCAGCTGGCTTAAGCAGATGCTGCTGCTGTATGGTAAATTATTAAATAGATACATGACATGGCTGTCTGAAGAGTTCTTTAAAGTGGCCAAAATCAGCCGATTCAAGGCGGTCAGCTGAAAAATTAGTTTATCTCTACATGAGTTTCATTAAACCTGTAGAATGGTTCATAGGGATTCAAGTATTCAAAGATTTTTATGTCATTCACATCACATGTGGTACATGAGGTGGAACGAAACTATGTACACAGGGTCCCAGTTACATCCAATAAAAATACAAATTGTAAAGAAAAACAGTAGTAAAATCCGAGCCATGAATCAAGAATACACTAAGAATACACAAAACTAAGAATACACTAAGCACTAACAGTATCAAAACAATGTGCAGCACGAACATGAGTCTGTGTGAGCAGATGAGGACTAATGAACACAGCAACATGAAACAATCAGCAACAAGATGTTTCAATAATGCTACAGACCCTACAACAAACAGACCTGGTAAAAACATTACGTCTTTGTGCCCTCAGTGGGGTGGGGAGATTCAGTAAGTAAATAAAAAATGCCACAGCTCTCAGGAAACTGATATTAAAATACAAACAGAACTACAGTTGTGAGCCAACCAGAGGGGCAGTCCTCTGCTCTAAACACATTGAGCAGCACATACACATAAGTGGCAGAACATGCATCCGAACCTTGTGTCTAAACATGGGGTCCAAACCAGAAACTCTCAGCTTCAAACCTCAGTTTCAAACCCCAAGTTCAAACCTCAGGTCCAAACTTCAGGTCCAAACCAGAAACTCTTAGGTAGACGTTCCTGTAGCCTTAATCTATGTTCACTCTCCAGCAAACACAGCCGTTAGAAACACACAACATAAACAAAAACTCTTCTAAGAGTCTGTTCTGCGTACTCCAAATCCCTCTTCAATTACCATGAATGATTTTTCTTTCTTTCGGCTGGTTCATGAATATTAAAATCAGGCTGAAATGAACGAGGGAATTGGTGGATTTTAAAAACAGACGAATCAAACTCATTCATTTAGCTCATACTCCCTGGATCATACAAATGAGTGGAAACAGCCAAGCAGAGAAACCTAACACACACACATACGCACGCACACAAAAACACGCACACAAGCAGCTTAATCACATGCTGTTGAGCAACTGCTTTTAATGCATTCAGCATTTATTGATTTGAGGTCTCTGACACTGAATTAAGCTTTAGAAACACACACGTGCATATTTACATATTTAATTATGCTTGCATGCATGTGTGTGGGTGACGTGTAGTGCGTATGCGTGTCTGTCTCGGTGTGCATGAGTGTGTGTGCGCGTGCATACGTGTGTAGGTACGCATGTGTGTAGGTGTGCATGTGTGTGCGACTGTGACCGAGTGCGAGGCAGCCAGTGGGTCAGTTTTTTTACTTTAATGATCCGACAGAGAGAAGCAAATGAAAAATGAAAACAGGGAAATCATGACAAGTGGGCATTTTGGATACCCTCTAATCTCCTCCCCCCACCCCACCCCCATTTTTATCCTCATGCTGGAAGAAGCCAGCAATGAGGGACAGAAGAAAAGCTTTTACCCTAACATGTGTGTGTGTTCTTTTAGTGAATAGAGCATTAATTGCATTAGCATTACAGCTGGGTGATTTCCTGTCAACCGAAAGTCTGGCACCAACAAAAGGGACAGTGTGAAGTGTGTTATTATTTCCTGGTTTTCACTTGACATCAAGTGACATTTCTGCATTAGAAATGTGATGAAGAGGAAGAAGTGAGGATCAGGATGCTGCTGCAGAAGAAACAAACTTATCAAGTTGTCTGTCTTCAACCCTAAAACATTCATTTTTCTCAGGATGAAGCACTTCCTCCTGATCATCTCAAACTAGATGTAAATGAAACATGGCAGATTATAAACGGTAGGTTTCCTAATAAAAAATAATACACCTAAAAATGTAATGAAGATTTTAATGGTTTGATTGTGTTTATTCTGCTGCAAATGCATGAAGTCTTGGGCACAGTTGGCCTTCTGACTGGTTCTCCAGTGGTCTTTGTGATTCTCTGTTTTACAAGTGGTACTCTGATGTCCCCGTCTCTGAAGAATTAGAATAGTGAATGTTTGCAATTTTGGAGAAGAGTGTTTTTATGGACTGGAATTGAATACAAAATGTACCTTAATGTTTTTGAACAACAAAGTCCATGCTCCAGGTATACAATCCAACATTTTTCAGTCAGGTCATCTGGAAATGTTCTTTCTTTGTGCTGAAACGTTTCACCTTCGGTCCGGAAGGCTTCATCAGTCAAGGAAGCACAGAACAAAACTGATTCTTCCCCAAACAGCTTACTCCAAAGAGGAACAAACCAGTTCTGCTTGTGATAAGATGGTCTCTTTGGTACACCCCCTCCTCCATTGCCGGCCCTCTTTCTTGTTGACAGTCTTGTCAAACTGGTTGAAAACGCTGTTGGGGGAAGAATCAGTTTTGTTGTGTTTCCTTGACTGATGAAGCCTTCTGGACCGAAGGCGAAACGTTTCAGCATAAAAAAGAAACTGTCCAGATGACCTGACTGAAAAATGTTGGCTTAATGTTTTTGGTGTAAGATAATCAAGTGGAGGAGTTACACTTGCTTGACATGACTCTTATTGTGACTTGGCGCTATAGAAATAAATTGAATTGAATTGAATTGGGTGACAGAAGCGTAGCGCTACGGTAGTGGCGGCACTTGTCAGGGGTGCGGGGTTGGATTGATTCTGTTGACAGGATGGGGCGCCCTCCTTGAACAATGTTTCCCCTACCGAGCACCCTGTCTACTGAACACCCCCCCCC